TGTGTCAAGATGAAGTCTTATTCAATGGTGTTTCATATCATATATTTTCCAATTTGCAAAGTGGGTCATCAATGATTGATTTAGATCGATCTCAATGCAAACCCTAACAAACTTGCCTCTAGTAGAAGTAACTGTATTGATGTCGATCTTGAGTGGTTTTCCAATTGTTTTGGCAATATGAAATAATACCTTATCATTGTAGTATTCAATGGGAAGCAAAAAGAATCTAACCCATATGGCTGTGGAGATTTCTTTTGCTGGAGAAGGTTTAAAATCATAAGTCCATTTACGGACCGTTAGGTAATAATGAAGGATAATCCAAGGGCCACCTGTATAGACCTTTGCATAATCATCTTTCATCTTGAATTTTATAAGAAAAAATCAAAGCCCTAAATCAATGACTTCAAAAATCCCCTTGTACGTGCCAAATTTTTAGCAGTTTGATGATAAACAACTTATAGCCTATGTTTCGACCCAAAGGCTTGATAATATGGCAATCTTCCCATGGTCTTGGGAGCTTAATGTAAGAGACCCCAAAATTTAGCTCCTCATCAAGATTCAACTCCTTTCCCAAATCTTTTGCCCGTGAATCTTCATCATCTGTTGAGAGGCGATCTAGACTGTTATCAAATGCCCTTTCGTTTAGGCGTCTATTAGTGAGTGCCTCTTTGAAAGATTTAATCGCGGGTGCTTTTAAGGTCGGGCCTTTAGGAATAGTTTCCTTCAGCAATGAATGATCAACTATGTTTTTATCACCATTTTCTTCATTAGCTTTGAGCTTCTTAGTACTTCATTGGAGATGGTCTTGTTCTTCAAGAGAAGCCTCGTTCAAATCAATATTAGAGCTGTTATGAGCGTTGAGAGCCATTTCATTCCTATCCAGTTAGATTTTCACTTTGCAGTATTAAATGAACAATTTTTAATATGAAAATAGTGATTAAACTTAATACTTAAGGGTTTAACTTTTCTCATATTTACATATCAACATAAGAGAATTTAAAAGATCTGTAGAGCTCACCACAGGTGTCACAACCAAACCCGCCCTTACGGGTTTAGCATCGTAACCGGCCAGTAATCTGAGATTACCGAAGGCCTGCTTAACAGTAAGACAGTAATACAGAGTACAAGGCCTGGCAGAAGCCAAATCAGTAATTAAAATATGTCCAATGAGCTGTGACAGTCTGTATGCAAAAAAACTTTTCATACATATACACATTCAGAACAAAACAGTACTATACATATATATACAAACATTCGGGTTAGGGACCAAATCCCTACCATAACAGTACAGTACGAGTCTATGCAGTCTATACAATACAGAGACAAAAATGGAAAACCTAAAACACCCCGAAGCAGCCTTAGCTTGGCAGCACTTGGAACCTCAAGGTGAGGTATGATGGTTGGCTTGACAAAACAAGAGCTAATCCGACGCTCCTAGCTCCGGTCCGGTGCCTGGACACCTACATATATATATATATATATATAAACAGTAAGTTAAAGTCCAATGAATAACATATGCGTAAATAGGTTAAGAATGAATGTCCTTTCAGTATTGAAAACAATCGTTTATCAGTATATCAGTTATTCAGTTTGTGGCTCATAATTTATGCCATAACAGTCATTCAGAAACTATAATAGTCATATGTGGTACATCCAATAGCAAAACAGTACAGTAGGTCTTAACAGACCGAGCAGTCAATGATGGCCATCATATCAGTAAACAGTAGTGGTTCCAAACGTAGGAACCGACAGAGATCTCTGTAACAGTAGCAGTAACAGTTCAGTAACAGTAAATTGTTATGGATGCCACGAATACAGTTCACAAATAGGACAAACATTCATTCAGTAAACAGTGTCATTTCATAAAGCAGTACAGTCATTTGTTCAGAAAATAATCTCAATTGAACATATCTTTACAACATTGTTACTCACAGAGCACTGGGCTATAAGCAGCTAGAGCGTCCTCGGATGCCAACCTACACAGTTACAGAACGAACACACACTAAGCTACACAGTTGGAAAATAATAACTTAATCCCTAATTTGCCTCGCCGTGGTTCTACATCAATATCCTCGTTAAGATGCCTTAAACTAGGCCTAGGAGTGCCTAGGATAAAATGAGGATGCAAAAATGCACTTTAAAACATTTTTCATAATTTTCAGAAAACAAGGGTCTCGCTCGAGCGTGGCTTTCTACGCTCGAGCGGGCATGCAGACAAATGAGCTTTGCTCGAGCGTGACTTCCGTCGCTCGAGCGGACTGTAAGCTACAGTAAAAGTACTAGATGCACAAAAATCACGCTCGACGGGCGCTCAATCCACGCTCGAGCTTGAGACACAAGTCCTCGCTCGAGCGGATTGTAAACACATGCAAAGTACTGGATACACACATTTCACGCTCGAGCGCCACTTTCCTCGCTCGAGCGGTCTGCATGAACACAAGGCGTACGCTCGAGCGTGGAGTTCATCGCTCGAGCGTGAGTCCAAAATCTGAAATTTTCAGATTTGAACCTCAAGCTCAAAACTCAACTCTAATGCATCAAAACTCAACCTCTTGGGCCTATTTTCTGGAAAAACACTTTAAACCCATAATATAACATGTTTTGAATATCAATTTGTAAAATCAAAACCCAAGGGTGAGTCAATTAAACACCATTTTCAAATAAAACATCAAAAACATGATGAACATGCAACATGCATGAATTTAATCAACTTCAAAACTTTCAAAGCATGATCAAATGAGTTAATTCACTCACAAACATGATGAATTCATGGGCTATAACCCAAATATGGACATGCATGCAATAATTCCCATGAAAACAACTCTAAACTTCAAGAAATGCACATGCATGCATGATTCAAGCTTCAATTCAACCATCTTAAACCAATTTATGACCTTAGGCTCCTATCCATCATGAATCATGCAAGATATGACTCAAATGCAAGCTCAAGAAGATGGTTCTCCTACCTTAGACCTTGAATTACAAGTGTAGAAGCTCAATTATGCAAGACTCCTTCAAATTCTCTAAATTCTCCAAGCAATTGGTTGAAATCAAGTTTTTCTCTCTCTCTCACTCTCTCTAGTCGGTTGAGCTCAAGAAGATGGTTGAGGAAATGTTGTATGTCTAAGTGTACTCAAGCCTCAAGGTGTTGGAGAAAGTGGCCCACTAGCATGACAATTCGGTGAATAAGTCGAACTTATGTAATTTAACATTATTAAATCTAATTTAATCATACCAAATCACATTTCAATTAAATATACCATAAAATCACATAAATGCTAATTAACATAAATCACTAATCAATTTTAGATTCGGCCGCCGATAAGGCATTCAATTTGCAATTTAAACATAATACATGAACAGATAATTTAACAATCAAACAGATAGACATGCATTTAAACTAACACACTCAATCAATTAACTCAGAATTTCAATCAATCAGTCAGTTAACATGCTTAATCATAGATTAGCACTAATCAGTGGTGAGGGTTGTCACAACAGGTCCCGTTTCAATGGTCTAAATCGTTCATTTTGTATGACACATTTATAATGTATATTATTTATGAAAAAAATTAGATCGATGTGATAATTAAGTCATTTTCATGTTATAAGTTCTCTTATATTAAGATATGAATATGAGAGAAATCCGATCAACTTTGTTTGGCAAGTGGTGATTTTAGGGCTAGTTTGGGAAGACAAAACAAATGCACTTTTTGACTTTTTATGAAATATGAGTTGAGTTTGAGTTGGGTTTGAAGCGATGTGTTAGAGAGGTGATGTGACTTAAATAAGATGATGTGACTTAAATAGGATAGTGACTTTTTGTCTTTTTTCAATTATGCCAAACTTGGCCTTAGTCAAAAAGTCACTTAAAAAATCAAAAAGGCAACAACCTATATAAAAAAGTCAAAGATTACTTTCTCTCTATTCTTTGCACATTTTTTGGTAAAAAATAAAAAAGTCATTCAAAACATACTAATTTTTTTATATCATATTTTAGTCAAAAAATTAAAAAATTACTAAAAAAATCTGTTCCCAAATGAGGTCTTACCCTTTAGTTTTGTGAGTAATAATTTTTTTTTTTGGGACTAAAACATACTTTTCCTAGACCAAGCTTCGGATTGTTTTTAGAAATTATTTTTTTAATGATTTTTAATTATTTTTATAAAGAGATGTGAAAAAAAAAAATAATTAATAATAACTTTTTAACGATGAATGTTTGTTTGATTTGATTTGATTTTTTAAAAGCTGTCTTTAGATGAATTGTTGTTTATTATTAATAATTTTTTTGATATTTTAATTAATTTTTTTTTATACTTTTAGATGACCTAATCAAGATGCATTTCAAAATTAAACACAAAATTTAATAAAAATATTAAAAAAATAAAATTTCAAATAAAACTTGGCGTGCATTTTTCGTTTTTCTTTTTTTTTTCAAATTTTCATTTGTTTTTAGTAAATTTTTTTTGCTTCATATATTAGTTAATTTTTTAGATAGATCTAATATTGATATATCTAAAAATAAAAATGGCTAAAATATAAAAAAAAAAGCTAAGTAAAAACAAACAAAAACACATCTAAAAATAATTTTTAAAATGGAGAGACTTCTCTCCCGTTCATATCGAATTGGAAGGTGCTGTTAGGCCATCGTGAGCCTACCACAAAATTTACATCAATAATTCGAACTGTTTAATGTTTAAAACTCATCGAGTGTTTCGTTTATATAAAAAAAATACTTTGATAAGATATCAATAGTTAATTGACCAAATGATATTTGTGCCAACCGTAAATATAATTTTAAAAATAAATTATTGATACAAATATGATCTAATAATTTTTTATAAAAATAAAATAATAATTCAATACAAATTTTGTAGACCTAGAAACACCCTTTAAAAAAAAAAATAAAATAAAAAATCCAACCGTGGTGAAAAGTGTAACCAGAAGCCCAAAATTCCAAACAAGGCCTAAACAAATCATAATGAAGACTGGAGCTCGAGGTCACCACCGAGGGAGGGTTGGATTGAAATGAAAAGAGAAAAAAGTTGTCAGGTGATTTGAGTCCGGTTTGACAAACACTCCACCCCGCGTCATTTCAAAACACTCCACCCAAAAAACGGAGGGAAGACCAAAAGCTGCGTTGGCGGCAAAATTACCCAACTCTCTCTCTCTCTCTCTCTCATACACACACACTCAACAAGACGTACCAAACAAACAAGCTTTTTATCTTCCATCACTTCACCAAATGCAAATACCATCATCTCTCTCTCTCTCTCTCTCTGAGCTCGATCGTTATGTCACCGTCTCATTCGATTTCCAAAGGTGCGTTTTCAATCCCAACCATTTTTGCTTCCTAACTCTGTTTCAGATTGTGGTTTTGTTGATTGGTTGTTTGTTTGTTTTTTTCCCTTCCCTAACCTTGTAACGCAATTGAGGTTTTTGTTGTTAGTTTGAAGTTCTTTACGCATTGAATCGTCGACAATGAAGCTTGATTTTAACAATCACGGCCTTTACAATGTTCGATTTCGGAAACATCAATTTGATTATTAATTTTTTTTGATTTTTGATTTTTGTTGTTTTATTTCTCTGATTGTGGGGTTGGCTTGTGGAGTCATTGATTTACTCTTACTTGTATCTTTAGGATCCGTTTTGATGGATGTGTATGTGTATTTTAAATCAAGAAATTTGAGTTAAGCAGAGAGAAAAATTATAGTAAATATATTAGTAGAATACTTGTAGTTAATATAGAATTCTTATATTGATTTTAAAAAACTATTATTAGATAGTTATTTTAAATTCATCATTATAAAGTCATCTAATTCAATATTGAAATTCATAGGTAAATTGTTAAATCTAAATTCAAGCGATTGTCTATGCATTTCAAATCCGTATTCATCCAAATAGATCATTAGTCAATTTATTTATTTATTTATTTTTTTGGGGTTCATTTTACCTTAAGATTGCTTATTGATGCCATAGCCCTGTACATGACTGCCGTTTAATTTTATTGAATTTTCCCTCTTTTAAGTGGTTTGGTTTATGCAAGTTGTCATTTTTGGGAAGCATTTCACTTCTAATGTATAAATTCTATGGGAAATACAACCTTCCATCCTTCTTCAACTTCCTTGAAAATTGAGGTAAGTTATCAAAGATGGTTCTGTTGCGTGTCTTTATGTTATGGGTAAATTACACTGACCTCCCTTGAGTTTTAACATAATTACATTGGGTTCCCTAAAGGTTGACATAACAATTAACTCATTTTTCATCAGTAATTTGTTAGTCACATGGATGAAAAAAATAATATTGTCATATGTTTTATATTAAAATATGTAATTTTTACTTGTTTATTCTTGTACTTTTATATCATCTTCATTAGTTTTGGACCTCTAGTTTCTTTAGCTTTACTAAAAAAGAGGTCAGTGTACTTTAAGGGAGGTTTTGTAATTTTCCATTATGTTATTATGCTCAACATTTTACCTTGTTCTAATTTTGCAACACACTTTATAGGCATTCTATAATCCCATTTTTGATGTCATTGAATTAAATTACATCTGTAGCAAAAAATGTAAACCCTTATTCTCAAATGTGTTGCTTCTTACGGATGGGGATACTGGCTATTGCTGCCTGTTGCCGAAGTAGTTTATCTGGTTTTATCTTATTATCCAATTTCTGTAACTTGCCCATTTTTAATTGTATCAATTCTTTCTTATTCTTGTCATAGCATTGTCTGCATTTTAGTTATGCTCAACTAACATTCTGTCCCATAAACTTCTGTCGGGTTTAATTTGTTGTTTTATAGACATTTCTAATTATACACTGGAATGCTTATGACTCTCCAGAAGTACTGCTTTGCATACTTTATGACGGAGTTTTAAATTGACATACCTAAATCAATTAAAATCTTTTCTCTCTTCCCACTTTTCTAAGTTTGGCTTCTTTAAGAACATCAGGTGCATTATATTTTAAAGAAACAATAAAATTTGATCTGCATACTGTTTGGCTCAAAGGGTCTTGGTAGACATTTAATTTTTTTGGTCTGTCTTTTAGTACAAACCATTGGAGTTCAGTTTTCAAAAGGTTAAATGTATCCTAGATAACAAGTCAGTATTGTAGTTTAAATTACTATGCTTCCTCCTGTAGGATTTTAATAGAGATCCATACCCAAGATCTCAAGTCTAATTAAGATAAAGAATAATAGATGTGCAAGTGATGCCATTGATGGAGGTAATGCAAGCGGTATACATCTTGTTGGCTATCTTCTTTTGCCTCCAAAACCCTACTCTACTTGTCTCACAGGGATGGGAAACATATGAGGCTAGGATTTGGAGTGGGAACCTTAACCACATATTTATTAAAGCCCTATTCCATATTTTCCCATCGATGGAATTAAACTTTCTACGCGTATGGTTTAACCCACTCTCACTTTAATGCATATAGCATGGCCGAAATACGTGCTCCTAGACACGTGTCACGACCTGGTCATATTTCTATATTGATCATGGTATAATGGGCCTAACTAACACCATCATATTCGATAGTAAACAACGGATAACTATATGTTCCATATAGCCCCATCAACGGAAGATTGCTAACACCACCACGTCCCAACAAATTCATTCACTAAAATTCAGTGTGAACTTTAAATTTTGTCTTTTACTATTTTTGGGATGCCAACATTGCTCAATAATATTCTTAACGTCATGTTGCTCTTTCTAGTTCTGGGTTTTTGGTCTCTTTCTTTGCTGTGTATGATGTATAAAAGAGCAGACCCTAACAAAAAAAAAAAAAAAATTGCCTAGTAAAAAAAAAACAGCAACTGGATGGTGTGTTATTTTGCTGCTTATTGAAGAATTGCTCAACTTTGAGCGTGAATTAAATAACTAGGATTGTGTTCATTATACATAAACAACATGCCCATTCATCATGGGATAAAACAAGTTAGCCAATCCTCATTTGTCCCCTCCAATCAACATAGTCACTCTTGTTGAGTGTCATGCCGCAAAATGTTGGTCTGATGGTGCCCATCTACATTGTTTGGATCTGGTGGCAATTATAGTGAGTGCATTATTCTTGCTTGTCATCAGTTTTACCTTTTGTCCTAGTTAATTTGCTAGCTGGAAAGTGTAGTCTTGCCAAGAGAGGACGGGGTGCCCTCGTCTTCTGGTCGAATCCCCTTACGCAAACAAAACCTGCAAAATAAAAATAGCAGGTTATACATGCTACTCAATAAAGAGAAGTATTGTATATATATACCTGGGACATGTTGCTGACCAAAAAAGTACCAGGGTCATGTAGTTTATTGTGTGAAATAAGTTTTTTATAGCTTGCACAGGCGACAATTTTTTTCCAACTTTTGAAGATTGAGATTATGCTTGTGATTCTCCCCCTTTCTTTTGATCGACGGGTATATCCAGGCCTCTTTGAGCGCTCAACTTATCCCAGACACATGTAGTCCCCTTGTCCAAATAAATCCTTGGGTTACCCCATGGGATTGACTCGAACTTACGAGAAAGGTTCCTGACCATCTCATCTGCCCTTTGGGATTTTTGTTGTGAATATATTGTGTCAATGCGTGCAGCGTAGGAGCCAGAAATTTTCTTGTGGGGGTGGGGGGAAAATTAATATGTTGGTCTTGGGAAAGCATATGTGGTGCCACAATGTGGTTTTTATTGGTTGAAATAGTGGGAACTAGCACTTATATGCTGATTTTTGGGAGACAACTAGACAATTGTTGCCACATGAATGGTGTGGAATATTGCTCCAAGGGTGGGGGTGGGGGGTAAATTAATATGTTGGTCTTGGGAAAGTATATGTGGTGCCACAGTTTGGTTTTTATTGGTTGAAACAGTGGGAACCAGCACTTATATGCTGATTTTTTGGAGACAACTAGACAATTGTCACCACATGAATGGTGTGAAATATTGCTCTGACCGCCAAATAACTTATCGAAAAATATATAGCTATATATTACAAAAGCTTTTTAGACTTTTGCGGGGACCAGGGCCCCTGCCGGTGCCCCTCCCCCGCCTCTGGCCCTGGATGCATGTGTAGAAGTTGATGATCAATAACCCAATTGTTTTATCTCTTAAGCTGTATTATGCTATCCAGACCGTAAGAATATTTCCATTAACAACACTTTACATCATGCCACAAAGAAGGCATAATACACAGTTGCTAGTTTTTAAAAAGTTGGTGTAATTTTTAAAAGTTAACCATTATATAAAATATGGATTCCCATATGCTAGTTTTAAGGGCCCCAATCCCCACTTGGGACATGTCAAGAACATATCTAGGAAGATTTCCAATTTCTTATCATTGTTTTGGTTAATCCCCAGGACAATATAATATTTTTGAGGCTTTGTTAAATTGGTTCGGGTAAAGTTGGCTTATGTGCAAGTTGGATTTGGTTAATTTGTTTTTGTTAGTTTTTCAGTCTTCTGGTCATGGTAACAAGAGAAGGTTGGCTATGATAATTTTTGTGGATGTGCATTATATGGTGTTTTGTAGAGTATTGTACAATTATTATTTATTTGCTTTGGTGTGTATTGTGTTGTGTACATAAGTTGAAAACTACTGAAAGCAACCAGAAGAACATAAGTTTGTGCTTTTTACATACCTCTCCAAAAGCAATATTGAATAATTTCCGTTGATAGACCTAATATACAAAGAGAATACGTGAATTTCATTTTTGGAATGAAGATCATGAATGACAATCAATCTTTACTGTTCATTACCTTTAAATATTGTAGGTATAGAGGTTCCAAAGTAAACTGTGCGTCTTGGCAAATTCCAAATCCAAGCCCTAGGAACATCAATTGGGTTAATGCTAGAGTCATGGTCAGCAAACACCTGCATAGGAAATCTTCTTTACTACTGCCTATCTGAAGAAGTGTGTTTGAAAGAGAGAGAGAACTCGAATTAGCTGAATATAGGTATCATTATTTACCTCATTAACTTGAAAATATGTACCATTGAGTGGAAAGCTCCCTCTCATAGCTGTTCGACATGGTATCTGTTCATATGACGTGTCACAAGTATCAGATGAAATTTGATGTAACTAGTTTGTTGCATCCTATACATAGTAATGATATGCATATCCTCACCAGAAGGGTCCCTCGAACAGTATGGGAGTTTGCTTCTCGGAAGCTATTGCATGAAAAACACGTATTTTCATCACATAGTTTGCCATATTCTTGGGAACTACACCTCCTTTCTGGTGGTTGAATTGAATTTGCAGTTTCACCTGACAGAACATTGACACATTCAGTAGCATCAATTAATGAACCCAAAGAGTCAGATTAAACATTACTGAGTTAATTGTCCAATTTTCCACGTTCAACTACTTGCCTAGTTGCATAGGGATTGAGTGGGTTGCTTAGAATGCTAGAAGCATGAATGAGCTAATCATTAATTTTCCATGTCCCCTAAATAATGATGGATGATCCTGTTGTACAATTGTTCAATGTTTTGAGCTATCTTAACGAGTTGGGTGATATGTGTGTATGCATTTTGTACTTACCAGGTGTCCATATAGCAAGAAGGTATGAGCATGGGTCATCAGGTTCTCGTTTGTCCAACTGTAATTTTAGCAAGTTTATTCAAATAGAAAATATATTTAGACATGTGAGAGTCGAATAATGTATTTCTCAAAATGTAGATGCAGTAATACTAACCCCTTCCAGTAGAGGATGTGAATCTGGAAGCTCATAGCTGCAGAATGGGAGGAAGCAATTGGTATATGTTAGCAAGGATTCAACACTCCATTACATTCTAGGGAAAATAATTTAGTTGATAAGGATCCTTTCTTGCTAATTAGTGATTTTTTTAAATTTTTTTTTTTGTAACATTTTCCTCATCACTTTGCAACATACTTTCTCATCATGGTTAGTTTGGCTATAATTTTGGAATGAATTTGTTTTCTATTCGGTTTAGTACTCTTGTAATATAAATAGGTTTTTCCTAGCTTCATCAATTATTATCTGAGAGGATCATGAACAGTTGGCTCCCATTTTCTGTTTCTAAAAGGAATCTTATTCTATCTAGTAAGAGGTTAATGGCTTTAATGATTTTGTCAATCTTTTGGAGATGCGGGAAGTGACTACTTACACATGGTGTTCTGTTCTTAGCCGGCTCACATTTTTGAGTTTAGGCATAGGGATTGAAGCAGCTTCTGTAGTCAAAGCTACTAAAGCATTTGACATTTCGCCCTCCTGAAGTTCCATACTCTGTTGCATGTAGTTTTGCAAATTTTGAGTCAACTCTGCAATATTGAGTTTGATTGTAGGAATTTCCTCAAGATCTTCACAAAACGCGTCCTCAATGTCACTTTCTGGTATTTGTGGTTGCTCATGCTCTGGCGTTGCTGGTTCTTCAACAATAGGCTCTGGTGTTCCTGGCACTTCAATAATAGGTTCACAGTTATTGATTTGAGATTGTGCTTGCAGTTGTTGATTAGCCTGAGGTAGAGGTAGAGGTAGAGGTAGAGGTAGCTGCAATGGTTTGATGACTTCATTAGTTGCTTTGTTTTCAGTTGCAGTCACTATTCTTTTCTCTTCTGGCCCAGGGAGGGCAAGCCTTGCACTGCATCCGACATGGTTCATTAGTCATTCAGTATATCAGAATATGCTTAACATAGATATTATGGGTTTGTTTTTGCAAAGCTTTGTGATACTGAGCTTTTGATATCTTATATAACATGCAGTATTTTAATAACCAGAATGATGAAGTGAATTTCATGTATTTGACAGTTGCCAAACAAATCTACTGTCCTAGAATCAATTATGATATGATTTTCATCAGAACAAATGTGGATTAAGTTGCTTTTCTTGCTTATGTTTATCTTTTAGTATCTGAATATGTATAGAGACACACAAACACATGCATGCATGTATATATACGTATGAATGTATGTGCCTTCAATTTGTATTTTCATCTGTAATAGCTATGTTCCTGATGATTATCATTCAGCTGGTCATGATTTTCCACATATCATTTGTTTGTGATTGATCATTTGAAAAAAATTCAAAATTTGTAGAACGTAGGTGATATTGGCATTCAGAAAAAAGAAAAAGAAAAACTCAACACACAGAAATCTCATTCAGATATTGGCATGTGTGGTGATTTAGGTGTAGAGATCCATTGCAGATGATGTACAAACCTTGCAAATGCACTTGCAAAATGCCGGCATTCTCCTCTCATTGGACATGCATTACAATTTGGTTTGCTTTTGGTACAAAACACCTGCAAAATTATAATGAATCCTTGCCAACCTTGTTTGTAATTAATCATCAGTTAGGGGGAAATCACCACATATTTCTAGAAAATACTACTTACCTTTCCAAAAGTAATCATCTGGTAATGTAATTCGTATCTGTGACAAATAGCATTATGAATGAGTAAATGCCATTGCATAATTTAACAATAAATAATAAATAATTTAATGTTCTTGCCAATTCATATATATGTAAAGTATGCATAAATCAGTTTGGGTATAGATGCCAACAGAAATATCTATTTACAATGTTCTTTGGTCAAGCTTGCAGAGTCGTGGCCAGAGATATCTCTGAATTGATTCCAACACTGGGTACCTATGTAGGAACAGCAACATTAGCTTTGCTATTGTGAATGTCCATTGTACTGATGTAAATCAGTTGGCCCTTAATACTCACAGTTCTAGAAGATGCAACTGTAGTGACTCAGGCAGCGGCTGAAGGGGTACCCATCCTAGTCTGACAGCTATACGTCCAACGTTTGTGTCAACCTTTTGAAGATTTACAAGTGTAAAATGTTTAAGATTCATCCATCTTATTTTGATATGTCGTGTACTTTTAACTTATAACTTACCGGGAAAGCAAGATGGTGAAGTGTCAAAAGCCGCACACACTCCACGCTTTTCAAGCCCAACCCTCTTACACTCAACAGATATTCTCTACAAGCAAAAAATTTCTGTAAGTACTTGTTTCATTGTTCTTTTTATCATATGGAAATTGTTCTGTAACGTATAGAATGATCTGAGAATTTTCTGCGGGCTTACTTTACTTCGTCAGGTGGAACATCCCTCAACCATTCAAGATCTATGCTTCCGTGTTCTCTAACCAGTCTGTTCAGGAAATCCTGCATTTTCTCAACTATCATCAGTTAAATGACTTTTCTATACATTGAGTGTCATAACATAGGCAATCCATCTGCAGTTTAAACAATGGAATATGAGATGGTTTGTTATGGAATATATTTACCTTAATTCTCTCCGCTAGCATGTTGTTCATTCCCCTTGCTTTGATGGTGTCAGCAATCTCGTTAACATCTGCACACCGTACTGCTTCCCAGTCCAACGAGTCCATTGTGTTGGCTGTTCTTTCTCTTTTACCTTTGGCTTGTGCCTGCGATCTTAAGCTATCCCAGTCAACTGTGTTCTGTTTCTGCTTTCCATTCCTAACCCTCTTCACTTTGGAAGTATCAGAATTAATTGCCTTGCTAGGAAGATATCCATGGTCTTTCAAACTTGACTCAACTGCCTTATGTTCAGTGTTTTCTGGGTTATTAGTTACGGTGGTGCTCTGTGTGACATCCAAGGTCTCTGTTGAAAGGTTTGGAGCCTCAAGAACTTGCTGCATTCTACGATTTTGCTCTTGAGTCTGTGATTCAATGTTATCCTTGGGATTCCCAACTGGTCTGTATTGAGACTGGAAGATCCTATTCACCTTTCCGTGAATTCTGCTGCATGCATGATTGTTTTCACTGGGAGATTTTGGTGTTTCTTGGAAACTCGTAGCCATGACCTTTCGAACCATAGTCCGGCTTACAGATTCTGCCGTTACTTCACTTTGTTCACTTGTGCAGTTTTCTTCATTTTTCTTGGAAATATCAGAAGACAAGCTTTTTTCTCCCAACATTGTGAAGGATTCAACTTTCAGTCCCAAGTCAGTGGTCATTTGTAAACAATAATTATTGGAAGTGATGATCTGCCATGAGGAGGTTTTATTATCCAAGTTATCCTTGTTTTGTTTTTGTGTGTCACATTCTGAACTATCCTTGTAGGTGGACCCATTTTCTTCATAAGACGATGCATTTCCAGTCTTGTGATTGTAAATTCCACACAAGGTTTCTGCGCTCCGTAATAGCTCCACAAAAGAAGAGCCAACAAGACTGTTGGGATTTGATCTGGTTCCTGGATTTGCTTCTGAGTTGTCATGCAAAAATGATCTTATTCTTTCAGTGGTTTGAGCCATTGATGAGTCCACAGAGTTTTGAGAGGAACCGACAGAATTCTGAGAAGAAAGTACATCATCTGTTTCTCTTCTGTCTCCCGTGAAACCTGCCACTGCTTCTGTGAGCTGATTCACCACTGTGTCTGTTGATGATTTATGGTATATCTCTAGACTATTTCCAGAAATATCTGAGGATTTACATTTCAAATTATCTGTTGACTTTACACCACCGCTGCTGCTTCCTAGAAATTCATTTCCACTGACAACTTTTTCTACAGTTGAATACATTTCATGCAGTGTTATAGAACTCCTGTCATAGGCTGGTTGATTTGACTTCTCTTCATGCCATTTGATGGAATCCTCCGGGTCCAGTATGCACACTTCTGGTTCTTCGACTAATATACTTGTCTCTTCAAAGCATGGGCTGTCAAGCGGAAAGTGTGCAGCAAGAGACATGAAGGCAGAACTGCAAAGAATAAACTAGAGTGAAGAGGTTTTCTATTACAACTGGTGTTAATTTTTTTGTTAAGTTAGAAACTCCAATTGACCTAGAAAGATGGTCTGAGACATTTTGAGTAAGGAAAACTCCAATCACTGAGTCCACAACTGATCCTTTCCATGGAGAGAAGCGTCTATCTCCTGTGAACATTACATTGCACTGTAAATATAACAAAATTTGCTGAATGAACCAATGTTCCTGTCATTCCAAAGTTTGAGAAAAAGAAGAGCGTGCCCTAAATGTTTGTGGACGTAATGACTGTTTAGGCTTCTTGATACTTTCTTTGTTCAGGTCCAAGATAGAAGTAGATATTTGGGAAACAATATGCCAGGTATTTAAGTCTTACAACTTAGTGATAAGTTTGTATGTATACACAATCTCTTTCATTAAGTTGCTATTAGGATAAGGTTTTCACAACTTGAGTTTTGGCATATTGCATTAGCTATCACTGCTATCTATGTCTATAATTTTGAAATCTCTTATATCTTTTGTTTTTACCACTAGTTGCCAAGGTAATATGGCTACAAGAAGTTAATTGTATATATTCTAAGTAACATAGACACAGACACGATACAGTTGTGCGGACACAATGGTGTTTAAAAAAATGCAAGACATGATATGTGTGGCACAAGTTAATTAATTAATTTGTTTATATTATGATTAATTTATGATATGTCAAACATATGAGTAGTTTATTTAAAGGTAATGGAAAAAGAAAAAAAAATACTAATTACAATAAAAAAAAATATATATATTCCATAATCTAAACATCAAGATATCATTTATGCAACAATTGCATTTTAAAGAATGCAAATAAACATTAAAATATATATGTATGCATCTTATAAATGTTTCAAAGCATAAGTTCTAAAGTTGCATTATGAAGAATGCATATGATTGTTATTATGGAGAGATTCATTGCATAGGTCAATCAAGATTTTTTGATCTAGGAACAATTGAGGTCAGCCAAGATTTGATGAGGACAAAACTATCTCCTATTGATTATTGTGATGGTTTCACAAAAGGAGATTGGGTTGAACTCAATGACGAAGAGCAAATAAAAGAAGAGTTAATAGAGTCTCTAAATGCAACAAAAAAAACTAAATGGGGACACACTTGGTATTCCAAGGTTGATAATTGTGTGAAGAGAAGTTCCACATCGCCTCAGGTACTAAAGCAATGGTAAGCATATAAGTGTGAGGGCACCCACCACAATAGCTAGCTTTTGGGATCGAGTTATACCAAGACCGTGTAACTAAGAAGCATGGATACAGACACGTGACACGACACATGTACGACACGGACACGCCGACATGTTAATTTTCAAAAAATGCAGGACACGACACGAGGAGGACACGCATGAAATACATAATTTTATATATTTATTATCTGTTATATATATATGAATATATCATTCAAAGATAATAAAAAATACAATATGACACTAATTGTTATAAATTTATATGGTTTTTATTTTGTTATTGTATCTTAAGTTATTTTGTTCAAACTTATAATTAGCTTGACGTAGACATGTGTGTTTAAACGATTGACACATGTGTCCTTCAAGTGTCCAAAGAGTGTCAAAGTCTTTCAACAATAGGACACGTTTTGAAGAGTGTCGGACACGTGTCCTGAGAGTGTCCAAAGAGTGTTGGGGTCCGACACGTACCCGACATGGATACGTCACCTTCCTAGAAGTGTCCGTGCTTCTTAGCCGTGTAACAAATTGAAGGCTCAACCAAATCTAAGACGGAGCAAAGTTGAGAAAATTCTATAGCAACATAAAATTCACTTTGTTGATTGTCTTGGTATGGAATGATTTAATTTGATTCCCAATCCCAATGCATGTCTAGTTGATCTTGTCAACCAGTTGAAGCATAAAGATGCTGTAAACAACTTTTGGAAGAGGAACTAACAATTAAAGCATTCCAAGCATCTTTTATTTGGCATGGAAGATGGAAATTTTTTGGTTTGAACTCGAGGAAGATTTCTTTTGAAGAAAAGTCTGATGTAGGACAAGAGTTTAAATGTTTCTATATTTTTATTTTAAATATTTTTGATATAGTATTTGTCTAGGAAAATCATGTAATATCCTAGAATTATTAGGGTTTTATTTATTATTATTATTTAATTTGCATTTATTTTTCCCGCTAATTTTTAGGTTACTTATTTTTCAAGAATTAGGCTAGTTTCTTAATTTTTAGATTGATTGGTGTTCAATATTGATTGATTTCCAAGGTTTCAGTTATTATCTAAGGCTTTGTTTGGGAAGTGAGTAAAATAGTGAAAAAGCTAAAAAGTTGTTATAAATTGTCACATCGTTCTATTTTTTTGCATGTCTTTTTATAAAAAGTCAAAAAGTCAATTAAAATAGTCAATTTTTAAACGAGCCCTAAATACCTATAGAAGTTTTAGGGTAAAAAATACAACTTCTATCAATAGAATTAATTCTTCTTTGAGAATTCTTCTTTTCCTTGACGATTCAAAGTTTCTTTCTGTGTATTTGGGATCCTTTGTCTACTAGAATGATATCTAGTTCCAAGTGATAATTTTGTTGTGTCACAACATATATTTAGCTACTTAATAAGATATGATTTTAGCATTCCTAAAAAAGGATTTGAGACTTAAGTGGTGTGTAGACATTTAAATGATTATCTGTATTGATACCTTGTACGAGATGCATGCGTGCAATAAATGAGTCTGCCCGCCCTTGGAACACTCGTCGTTCTTCTTCCCACCATTTTGCTTTCTCTTCATCGGTCCCATCAATACCTTCACTGTTTATATTTTCCAGAAGAAGCTTCCATACTCTATTTGTCTCTTCATCAAGGTCAACTTTAGGTCGCTGTCGCCATTTCCTAACAAGACCAAATGAACCTTCAAAAGGCACCACCGTTCCATCTCTTTTATAAAGAACTAGTGCATTTTTCTTTTCAAATCTTAAGTTGTAAGGAACAATTGCACCCTGCTCTTGATATGTGACTTGTTTGCTTTCCCGATTGATGTCTAGACACTTTAAATACTCAACTATTGCATCAATAGTGGGGATTCTCTTCTGTTTTGCACCTGGAAGATGACATGCATTGAATGCCTCGGTGTATTTAGAAAAGAAATCACTTTAACAGAATGGGTGCCTCTCAATAAACAAAAGAATCATCTATAATCATTTACTTAGGAAGTACCTATTGACTTGCAAAAGGATTGGTTGTAGGTATACATACCAGTAGAGTTTCTTTTTGTCCGCTTCTTTGTTGTCATTGTTGCACGAGTGTCTGCAACCAGTGCTTCCATGCATGTGTGAGGGTGATGTGAAATTTCATACAGCTGCTTATTATCCCGTATTGGTGCCCCTCTAGCAGGAAAACTTGGCAATTGTTTTCCCTTTATAATTCTAATTAGTGAAGCCAAGTCGCGTACCCGAGTAGGGCCTTTGGATCTCTTCTTTGTCATCCTTCCTTTCTGGTCCAAAGCCAGTTTACATTCGAAAGTTTTCTGTTTACCCTGAGCATCTGTAAGTGGAGTAGTTTTGGTTGAGGTTCTGGTAGTGTTAAATTGAGCAGTAGAAAACCTGCAATTGGTTTCTGTTGTATAAGGAGTTGCACAGGCATTGTTCAGAGGCCATGGTGTTGCTCGTCTCGCACTATTTTCTGCAGCAGTCTCAATAGACAATATGTTGGACATAGTTGAACTGTGCGCTTTCTCAGTTCTCTTTTTCTTGTAAATTGTAGGAAAATGCATGCCAGGAATTCTGTTATTGTTATATACATTTGCTGGAAATCTTGCCAGATATTCATGCAAAGAATTGTAATGACGTCCAATCACATTTGTGCGGCTGGGTTCTGCCTCATCAATTGTGCATGAATGTACCCTCTTTAATCCCCTTGCTTGTTCTCCCTCGGTCAAACATGCACTGCTGCTGCAGATGGAATCGTTTGGACTCCTCGGTGTGGATTGGATATCAGTATTCATCATCATTTGTACAATGCTTCCCTGTTTATCATATGTTTCATTGGAGAAAACTATCTGACATTTTCCTCTTGTATGCTCATTTCGGGCATGACCCTTTAAGTTTTCATGTGATCGATCAGTTTTGGCTGGGGTTGGGGGGCATGGGGCTTGTCTTTCTGGCATTGCTATGTAATCTTCTAGCACTTTGTTCATGGAGCGGTTAAGTTCATAAGCAATGCCCACTTGTGTCTTCTCAACCATTGCCTCTATCCCTTGGCCAAGGTGAACAGTTGATTTTGATTCAACTCTGGTATAAAAGTTTTGTGCTTGTGATTCTGCATTCTCATTGGAATGTGGCCTGTATGAAGAGCTTTCTTCTCTCACTGGGCTTTCCAAGTCAAAATTTAATGTTCTCCTGCAGGATCTTGTTACACGCGGTGCTGTTTTTGGATGAGTACTTTTGCTTGTCACTTCCACTGTGGGAGTGCCTGGGGTTTTGTTGAGTCCATTTTTTCGGACATACTTCCTCTTGCCTGTTGTGTTTTCCTCGGGGGCCACAGGCTTTGGGGTCACTGGCTTTCGAGTCCTTTTGGGCTGGCCTTCTATAACCACTTTGGGCCTGTGCTTTTTTCTTCTCAGTTTCTGTTGTGTTCTGTTCAGGTCAATGCCAGGGTTGCCTTCCTTGTCAGGGTTGTGATTCTCGTGCAATTGTGTTGAAATAGCAGAACTTGACAAACCTTTTGGTAGTCGTTGCTGTTCTTTATCATGGTGGAGCTCGTCCACTTCAACCCTAATAGCAACTTCGTTCCCCTCGTCCCTTGCCTGATTTGTTCTTTCATCCATGTTTAAATTGTGAATATCATAATCGTGCTTGGTTTCTCCTTTCTTGGACTGATCTGGTGTTATGGGTGAAAACTGGGCAGTGATGTTCCTGCTTGTGAATGCATCTGTTAATGCTCCTGGTGGCAAGTTGAGATCATAGGTGGCTTGGGCAGGAACGTAATTTCCGGCTGTAAGGTACAGTTATTACATTTCATCAATTTGAGGAATAAATATTAACAAAATCTGACGTGATTTTTGTAGTGTCAAGAATGTTATTCATCTGGTGGTTGTTGAATCAGGTGTAGAAAACATCCCAATGCATGGGGTCTGGGAGAGTCAGATTTCAAATGAGGCATAAAAAACACCACCACCACCGCCGCAGCTGCCGCAAGTGGAGTCAGCGTGATGGTGAAAGTGTCCCGGGTATCAATGGTTTGTGGGTAAAAGGAAACAATCAGAATGATGGCATGGCAAAGGTGTATCATGTAAATATGTATGATACATTACACGATAAGCAAATACCAATTCGTGTTTCACTTTCTTTGCTTTGGTCCTAAATCCAGATGCAGTTTTTTTAAGGTATGTAGCTAACTGATTTTCACATGTTATTGAATATGTGGGGGTTGTTTGGTGCAGCTTATGGAGATGCTTATAGTTTTGTTCTTTGTGAAATCTGTTCTAGAGTGTTGGGTGCAGCATCTGATTACAACTTATGAGGCAGAAAAAACTAAAATAAGTTGAAGAAAAACTCATGATTGAGAAATAGGTGGAGATGTGCTTTTAATTTATGTTTTCTGATTATGAGCTTTTAGCTTGATAAAAGTTGCGCCAAACAAGCACATGGATTCTGTTTTGGAAATGGAGCTGGTGGCGTTTCACAAACCCCATTGACATTGGGGTACTTAATGGTCCTACACCTATGAAACTGTGCAGTTTGATCCTTACATATAATTATTTGACATGTTTGTGTTTCTATGTATTTTTCTTGCTCTCAAGAGTTACAGTTGAAAGCAACGGAAGCTTTAACTAAACAGTAATCACCAAATCAAAGGCAAAGTTAGTAATACTCACATAAAGGCCTATCCAGTGCACAATTGCTGTTACTCCACAGGTTTGATCCAAATGAGATCTCTTGGTTTGCAGGGGACGAAGTCGTGGAGCAGTTCTCAAATCGACTACCTTTGAAGTGAGAGTCGAAAATAGAAATGAAACAACTGTTTTCTTCATTAACATTCCATTCCCTGGCAGCATTTGCAGAATCTGTTGTAGCAGCAACATCAGCGAGGGCCATGAGATTTCCAAAAGGAACATTTCCTATCCTGTCTGTATCCATGGAAAATTCACTGCAAATGCTGAATTCACCACCAGTTACTTGGGATTTCCCAGCGAAATCTGCTTCCCAATCATCAAAGTCCTTGTTCAAGTCAATGTAATTTGTTGAATCACAACATGCAACTGTTCCATGGGCTCGAGTTTCCTCTGCAAACCCGGTTGAAAATCTCTCTGCTACAATCAAATTTTCATGGCCTAGCTGATTTTCTTGCCTGTCTGCGTAGATCGGCTGCGGTTTTGGCAGAATGGGCTTCACTGGGGTTATTGGAACCCAAGAACTGTGAATCTGGTAATCTTTCACTTCCGGAATCATAGTCTCTCTTCTGAAATCCATTTCTGAGGCTGTGAAAAACAGGTTAGTACCCAATCTTCTCTTTCCCCAGTTTTTCAATTATTAGGCAAAAGATTCTCTTGAGGTGAGAATCCAAATAACAGACTTTTCCAGTGAACTTTCTTCCTTTACCAACCCCATCCTATGGAATTATTTTCCTAGAAAAAAAAAAAAAAAAAAAAGGGCGAAGGAAGAAAAGAAATTAGAACCAAGATTGTGCTAAAACAAGATCAATCAAACCCATACCCTTCAGAATCCTGAAATTCAAACGAGAAAGAGCCCTTTTAATTGACAGATCTCCTAAACAGACATACCCAGTTGCTCACGCGCATCAAAAGCATTGAAAATCCAATAAAAATTCCAGTAATTTAAGTAGGTTTTGAAATTTTGTTTTCTTGGATAGAGATTGCAGAAAACAAGCAAGAAAATCTCAATATCCTATTTCATTTATAACATATTTATATTTATATATATGAAAAAAAATGAGAATAAGTATGAATTAGATAGACCTTGTAGGTCAGAATTACCAGAATCGTGGGTCATTGCCGGAGATCTACAGGTTCTCTCACTGGACGGCGAAGAAAAACAGAAGTAGAGTCTTTTCCATAGAGGAGAGAGAAAGTAGGGAAAATAATCAACCAAATGGAAAGACCAGGGCTTCTTAGAGAGAGAGAGAGCTCCCTGAACTGATAACTTCTTTTCCCGTAAATCCTTATACGTAATTTCAATTTTTATTTTAAATCCATATATAGTATAAAATTGTGTTTTAACTCATGCACGTGAGCTTTGCAATTTCTCTCCCGGAGTACGAGACGGTGAGACTCGCATATGCATAGAACTCACTCATTTGTATCTAAAAAAATTCCGTAGTTGAAAAAATCTCGAAAAGTATATGAAATTAAATATATATTTAATTGAGATGTGAATCACACTCAAGTAAATTTATTTTATATATTTTATTAGGAATAATTTGTGTCTAATTGAAAATTTTAACTGAATCAAACAGTTGAAACATAAAACTCTTACTAATATGAGTTTATGAAAAGATTCAACCAAGTTTTCATAAACTCTGCTATTTAATGACTCTTGCCGGTAAGAGATCTCAATTGCTTAGAGCTTTCAACTAGAAACAAGTAAAATCTTATTTTATTTGCGTAGATATAGATTGTATTTGTATTTATGGTGAGATGTGACGAGAATTGTCATAAGAAATTAAATTATGCAAACATTTTTTATTTTTTTGGCACTTGATTCATAAATTCAATTTTAAATTTTCGTTGCCTCAAAGTTCATGCTCTAAAATACTGTCCATAAAGATAAGTTCTTGCAAAATGACCAAACTATCCCTTCATTTCCTTTGCTCCTTCCACACGTTGATTTTATCTCTCTCTCTCTCACTCTTTTTCTCTCTCTCTTATATCTCACATCTTAGTCTCTCTCTTCTCAGACCTTTATATCTCCTCTCATCAAATCTCTCTTCACCTCTGTTGTAACAGTTGAATTTGGCAGACCGCTTGAGCGGTCATTTGGTCGCTTGAGTGAAGATTCGCAGCTTTCAATAGTTTGTCATTTTCTAGGCGAGATCGCTCGAGCGGTGAAATGGTCGCTCAAGTGTAGGTTTTATGCTCTTAGTATTTCCACCGTAACACTGCAAAACTTTTAAAACTTGTTGTTTTTTGCTCAAGCGATTCCCTTGAAATTATGTTGTTCGCTCAAGCGATGAAAAGTTTGCTCTAAAAGTCTGTCGGGACAGCCAAGTTAAAAAGTCAACTTTTACTCATTTTCTTTCCACATTTATATATCTCCTCTCTCTCTTAAACACTATCTTTCGAAAACCCTAGCCTAGAAACAAAAAATTTCTCTAACTTTTAGCCAAGATTCACCTCAAATCTTTTAAGAAAGTGAAAGAGCAAGCCTAGATCAAGGCTCTCACCGATTGTTTCGCGATTTTGTCGAAGTTTCACGGGAATTTTCATCTTTAGCTTCTCTTCTTGAGATAGAGGTGTCTTTAACTTGTTATATCTTTAATTTGAAACTTATATGTGGTAATTTTATTAGATACTCATTATATATATATATATATATATATATTTTTTTTTTTTTGTGTTAGCGAATGGATTGGACAAAAATGAGCAATGTTTCATGATTATGGAAGGATTGTGTATATTATTGAGGATTATTTGAATCATTTTAGGAGAAATTGGGAATACACAAATTCATGCATCATATGCATTATTAAATTTCTCTTGTAATACAATAATGGTGCGAGTAGTGGAAAGTTGAAAGTAGGTAAATAGTCTATGAGTTCGAGAAGTGAGTCGGGTTGGGTTTTGAGTTATGTATTGTAATTGGTACCTGTGCGGGGAGTCAAGGTGTCCAATTGCCTTGTCTGCGCATATCGTCGGATGAATGTAGGAAAATATTTTTGGGTGTCCATGAGCCCGTCGTTTCTAGAGTCGGCAAATGTGGAAAAACATAGTTTAGGGTGTCTACGTTCGTCATTTCTTGAGTCAGCAAATGTGGAAGGGAAAAAGTTTTTTTTTTTTGTGCCCATCGCCTTGCCGTTTTTGGAGTTGGCAAAAGTGAGACTATTTTCAGTAAACAAAATCTATATCTATGTATGTATTTTGAATTGCAGCTTTTACTTGGAATGTCATAGTATATTTACCGTCCATGTAAAATCTAAAAATGCTAATTGAACATTAATGTTGCTTATTTCATACTCATGCATAAATGTATCTATATATATATGTATATATATAACAAAATTTACCAAACGTTTGCATTGTATGATCATGTGTTTTTCAATTAACGTTATGACTTGTAAAATACATTACCTACAGAGCTTTTGCTCACCCCAAACTAACCAAATTTTAGGAAATGAAGACTAAGTCCCTTGTAAGTGACTGTTTTGAGAAGAAAACTTTTGGGATGTGAAAACTTTTGTTTGAAATCATATTATGTGTATGCCTGAGACAGTTTTGGTGACTATATGTAAATTTGTATTTTGGTGTAACAACGGACCAAGTTGAGGGAAGTTGGCTTATAATTGATTTTGTTGTACCATTTTTTACTTGTTGAACTATTTTATTTTATTTATGAATGTAATAAGGCAATATTGTTAAGCTTGGAAATAGTTCAAAGGGAAGGAATGTTGTCAATGTTATATCATTACTATTTTGTGTTGTTCTCGTTGTCAATCGTATATTGGGAATGCCTAGATAAACGGGATCATGGTGGTTCATTGCCAAGGTGTTACAAATTGGTATTAGAGCTAACCAGGTTTGAATACCTGGAGCTCGTGGAAAGCAACTTTATCGCATATGGCCATCATGTTAGCAAGGGACGTTAGTTTGCTTTGTGTTTTATCTGTTTGTGTGATTATATGGCCATTGAGTTAACCTCTTGGGATATGACTTGTGTCTATTGCAGTAATCGAAATCATTTTGGAAATGCACCTGATCAATACTTTTTTTACTAGGTCTTCAAGTGCCACGGGACTACTTGACATCTTAAGAGAGTAACCCGTGTGTGCTCTATGTGTTTATATGACTATGTGGTGTGCTTTATGTAACATAGACATATGTATAGGTGTATCTAACTCGTGTGACGTGTGAGTTGACATATAGTGTATGGATTGAGTTAAATCTTTTCTCCTTACCTCTATATAGGATGTTTGGATGTGATAGAGGTCATGGCAGGCCACACAGAGGTAGTGGGGATATGTCGGCTTAACAAGATTTATCTCTCTAAGAAGAAGGGTAAGGGTAAAGTGACGTGCGGTTATTCCCCTGGCCCAAGATGCAATGGAGGCATTAGTTTGGGAAATGGCAGTAGCTCTCCCTGAGTCTATGGAAATACTTTGAGCCAAGCAAGCGGCGAGGACAATTGAAGGGGAAACTCGAGTCTCTTTCTTGAAAAAGAATTTTTTTTGTTCAAACGTCGCTAAATTTAGTGGAGAACCCAACCCAATGAAGGTAGACGAATAGTTGGAGTAGATTATTAAGTCATTTGAGATCCTAGACATCCGTGATAGAATTTCAAGTGGCATTGGTGGCTTATCAATTAAAATGGGAGGTTGGTCAATGGTGGAAATCTGTTAAACACAAAGTAGAGCATACTTGAGAGGCCTTTACCCACACCTTCCAAAAGAAGTTCTTACCTCCCATGGCTAAGGAAAGGTCGATGAAGCAGTTATAAGAACTTAGACATTTGGACACCCTAGTGTCGGAATTTGAGGTCACTTTTACTAGTTTAGCATGTTTTACGCCTAAGCTCATGGCGACAAAGAAGCGTCGGTGTTTGAAATTTGAGAAAAGACTAAGGCCCAAGATTTTGATGAAGGTGATAGGTAGAGGCCGCAGCTCATGTAGAGATTATGTTAGAAGCTGCGGAAGTTAGGCTGAGGCATAAGATGTCGAGTTACTCAAAATCCAAGAGTGATACTGGATCTTCTAAGAAATCTAGGGGTTCTTCCTTCCTTCCAATCTATGCCCTAACAAGCTAAGTCATCGGGGTTTGTTTTTGTGAGAAGTTCTGGAAGCACAAGCCCTACCTATGTTATTTGTTTCAAATATAGCCAGCAATGCCACAATAGCGTAAACAAAATCCTAGTCATCAACAACAAATTTGTTCTCAAAGCCAAGCCCAAGGAATGGGGCCAGTTGCCTGCATGTTACTATTGTGGGCAATCGGTGCATATGAAGAGGTTTTGTCCACAGCTAGTCGGGACGGGGAGTGTTTTTAGATCTTGAAATTCTAGGAGTTATAAGGTAGGCCAAGGTCAGAGGTAGAATTGCCAATCGGTTTAGTCTGGGCAGATACCAAGGGCAGTATAAGGGGCCACATTAGCACGGTTAACATAACCGACCAACGTTTTGAGAGGTGATCGGGGTGAACAGAGGCCCCAAGGGCGAGTTTATGCAGTCACTGCTTCTGAACAATCATCTGGACCATCAGTGATGAGAGGTACCTATCTTATCTAAAACACTTGGGCCAACATATTGATAAACACTAGAGCATCTCTTTTATTTATTGCATCTGCATTTGCATCCATATTGGGTTTAAAAGTAGAACAACTAAAGTCTTCACTCATGGCTGAGTCACCAATCGGGGGTCAAGCCATCTTAAATTAGGGGTGTCGTGGGTATGTAATTGAGGTAGCTGAACATCAACTTTTTTTTAATTTAGTGCTATTAGAGATGTCGGGTTTTGATGTCATTCTTGGTATGGACTGGTTGTCTTCTTATTGTGTCGTTATAGATTGCTACCATGGAAGGGTTACGGTGTGTACCACTGCTGGGGACTTTTTTTTAGGAGATAGAGCCGATGGAGGGTTGCCGCTGTTGTATGACTCACGAAGTCGAGGCAAACTTAGTTTTCTTCTTGCAACTATTGTCGATGATGAGGGTAGTACAGTTCGGGGGATATTTCCTAAGGTGGTTTGTGAGTATCTAAATGTTTTTCTTGAGGATCTCACCGAGTTACCACCTCATCGTGAGGTAGGATTCTCTAGATCTAGTGCTTGGTACGACATTCATCTCCATGTTGCCGTATAGATTTGCTCCAACAAAACTACTTGTTCTAAAGGAGCAATTGCAAGAATTGTTAGATAAGGGATTCATCCTTAGTACCTCGTCATGGGGAGCACTGACTCTCTTTGTCAAGAAGAAAAATGGTTCTTTGTGGTTATGCATCGACTATCGTAAGTTAAATAGAGTCACAAT